TTAACCTCCAGGCAACTTGGCCTTCAGCAACTCTAAGCCCCCGCCCATGTAACCAAGATCAGGAAAGCCAGGGGCCAAAGTCCGAAACACCTGGAGGACAGAGGTGGCTGTAAAACATGTCTTTTTTCCTTTCATCACAAAATAGATCCAGGCCTATGCAGTAAAGAAAATGCGGATATAGGATTAAAGTAAAAACACAGAAGCACTGTTTGCTAGGAATTCTGCCTGCTTCTACATGTAGGAGCTAGGAGGCATTGCTGCAACAAGAGATCCGGCATTGTTACATTCAGCAGATGACGAAAGATTGGAAGCACACCGTCCGCGTAGACAAATATCTCAGAATATTTTTTATAAATGCCATGACTTACATAGTCACGTTCATGAAAATAGGTTAATACTGGGATGCAAAACCCCCCACTGTAATTTTTGTATCCCAGGCATTGCAGCATTTTTGCGAGGGCATAAGAACCAGTAAAGAAACGGACGAGTAGTGACAGTGACATTGCTGATCCCTAACCCAAAACTCTGCATACAAGGTAGCTTAGGCATCGTCTCAGGATCTTCGCCTGATGTGCGTTGGTGAAATGTACGATCTTCCCAACCGAAAGAGCTGAGATCTAGATCTTTTTACCCACCAGTAACCTATTTGGTAAAAAAATACACATTCTTTCTCATGATGGATTTCCTGATAGGATTAAAAACCCAGATCCTCAAACACCTTACACAAGTCAGTATTTAAAGCCATAAACCAAATGGAAAGAGGTCCTGATTGAAAATACCATTGTAAAAGAAAACATGGCAGAAATGCCAGTTTCAACCAATACATTATTATTTCATGAAAGAAATGTATTGCAGGACACTTCACAGAGCATCACGCGGCTAAAGTCCTACTGGAATTCCCGGTTGATGGTTTACCCATAGACCTCGTCGTCTCTGCAACCGTGTGTCTCCGAGGTTGGTCTTTGCCAAGGCCGCCTGCTCCCTGCGGTGGTGCTTTCCTCATCACCAGGCGAGTGGGAACGCACATTCCAGTCCGAAACCTGGGCACGCACACGCTTATTGTCCCGTACTTTTCGAGCTGCATGCAGGGATCTCTGGACCGGGACCACAGTCTTCCCTAATCCCGGTGATGGAGTGGCTCAGCAGGCACAGGGCTGTGGCAGAAGACAGACGCTCTCCATTCTGTGCCCCCCGTAACGCAGGGGCAGTCAGTGTATGCACTGGCGTCCCCATACTGAGGGTTTTCCACCCTGTCAAGTTGCAACCCCTGCAGCAGATTGAGGAAGAGCAAGTGGCAGTGCGGAGGTGAGAACTGGGACTGCTCTTTAGAGCAGGAGCCAAGGGTTCGCCTCGTTCTATCAGCAAATCGGGTGGGTAGAGAATGCCAGTCGAAATGGGCTTGTGAGCACAGAGGGGAGGGCGGCGAGCCAAGGACTGACTGGGCAGCTGGCTGTGGGGAGCGCATAGCGGTTGGCGTGGCCAGGTTGCCGGCTGACGCCTGTGACGGGGCTGAGGAGCCGGATCTGCCACCGTGAGGTTCACCGTGGCTGCAACAACCCCAGGGGCGAGCCACGGGCTCTCAAGGGGGCTGGCTGACCTCGGACAAGCCTCCCTGCGTAAATCAGGTTTCTTTCTTGCACCCCCACCCTTTTTGCGCTATTTCCTTTTGTCTGCAATTGCACAACCTGGTTTGATCCCTATTTTACACTGACAGCTTCTTAATAGTACCCAGGTGGCACCTTGCAGTGCTCAGTAACTGGCAGATCATTTTTTAAAATGCACAAAATGGACACGAACAGCTTGCTTGCTTGCTTGCTTGCTTGCTTGCTTGCTTGCTTGCTTGCTTGAGGCACATGAGCACAACTCTGGAGGTTTGCATTTGCACAAGTATGGGCATTTGAAGCTTTAGCTGGGGCAGAGACCTACAGGGTACCTGCCACCAAGTCACAGCAGTTAGCAACTCTGGGCATTGCCTCATATAGGCGCCAGGTAGGGGCTTTAACCCTTTGAGGAATCTTTGCTCACAAAAAAGAAGTGGCGCATTTATACCCACTTCAGTGCAAGATCCTTCACTTCTTAAAATTGTGCTGGTGCAGCCCATGGATTCATTCACATTTTGTCCTTTTTCTGAGAATGGAGGTTCCCAGAGTGCTGGCAGGTGAATTAACCCATGGGGGCTCACTGTGTCATGCAAACCATAGGCAGCTTTCTAAGTTCCTTATATCAGCTGTTTAATCAACTACTGATGTCAGTGGTGATGTGCAAAAAAGGTGCTCTTTAGCATACCAAAGGAAATGCTACCCGACTTAACATTTAATTAAAATGAGAGAAGATTCCTCACTGTTACAAGGGCAGGCCATCCTTTAAGATATTTCTTTTTACTGACACTTGTGGCTTCAAAAAAACCCCAAATGTGTGTGCCATTTGATTTTGCCCCTGCTGAAGGACTAAAGCTTTAGCTTTTGTTTCTGTTAAGTATCTGAAGGCAGGTTGCTGCCCAGTGTCAGTCACCAGACGGTGTTGCTACCATCGTGATCTGAATGCAGGGAAGCCGGCCTGTGGCAGTGTCCCAAAATCCTGAATTGAGAGCTTCCTCCCCTCCCACTCCTTGCAAATTATTGCAAAATTCAACTTATTAAAAGCTTATTAACCACCTATTAAAATGTCTACGTTGTTATTTTGCAGTCAGTCTTCTTGCAGGCTTTCCCACTCTGGGTTCTCAGACACTGTTGGACTATGGCTATCATCCCTATTGGTTGGAGACGGCGGAAGCCGCAGCCCAAGAACATCCGAGGAAGCCCTTGGGCACGACTGGTTCTCCCAGAGGGCCGCTTTGCAAAGCATGCGAGAGCAGGTGGCCGGGTAGCTCAGCCTCACGCCCCGTCTGTCGGCAGCCACGCAACGCCTCCCAAGCCTGACTTTAGAATAGGCTCGCAAAAGTCCCCAGAATCAAGCGATTCATTCTGTTCTAACGTGTCAGATCTCCACGGTATCTTTGGAGGCACTCTTGCTGAAAACAGTGATATTTCTGTCTGTGCCAAGTCTGTAAGCAAACAGAGAGCTAATTTGTCATCTGTGCTATTTCTGGAATTAAAAGTATGATAGAATGACAGGCGATCCTGCTGTCCGTGGCACAGAGCTTGCCTTTCAGCAAACACCAGGAGGGAGCAACTGCATTTGCCTTCATGAGTGATGCATCGGGCCACCATTTGCAGTTGATATTATCTGGCCGGACTCTGGGGTCCGCACTTGGTGCTCCAGGTCTCGCCTTCTACCGACTTCAACATGTCCTTTAAGTGGGAAATGCCCTGCTTCTTCAGGACAGTGATCCGTGAGTGTGCCATTCCCTTTTGTGGCACAAACTGGCCACCACAAAAACGTTCAGGCCTTGAGATCTGGCCCAAGATAGAATCCGTCTAGGCTTTCCAGGTATGCTCACAATGTACCTATATGCATATTTGCGTATTGCCTATGAAACAAGAGAGCAAAAGTGACCTCATACTCTGATCTGGATTCTCTCTGTTTTTCTTATAAACGGGGCAAATTAGCTCTCTGCTTGCTTATGGACTTGGCACAGACATGAAATTGCACCAGGCCATGGCTGCCTCGAGGCGAAGGCCAGCGCTCTCATTAAGCACCAGCTGGTAAGACCGTTCTGAGAAAATGGGCTTCAGCCGGATTATGCAGCGATTGATTTATCCTTTGAGACAGTGCTGGTTGCAGAGAGTTTTATTAAAGAGACCCTGTTCATCATTCTCTCCCAGAAGGAAATGTGCAATGAATGAGTGCAGGATTCCCACGGGGAAATCACGCCTAAGCATAGAAAGCCCAAACCAGCAAGACTTTGCTTCTTCTTACACACGTCTTATTCCCAGTTGAGCATGTATATTAAATGGGCCAATTTTCATGGAAAGTCAGGAGCAGAACCAATTGAACCATATCTGTCTGTCTGTAATAGCAAGGTTGCTTTTTAATTGTTTGGGTGCTCCCAGATGAAGCGTGCATTGTGCAATGTTCCTGATTTATTCATGGAATTTTACAGCTCCTCTGGACACTGCCTTCCATTGAGAACCCTCCTATGTGTTCCCACTGCTTTGCCCACCTTTTCCATTGCCTGGAAAAAGAATGGTTCAGGAATAAATAGTTGGAATAACTGCACAATTTCATTTTGGATGACAGAGGTGGCCTGATAGGAGATATTCTGCTGTGGGGTACAGTGGGGCAGGAAGGGACTGGTGCTAATCACTTGGGCAGCAAGACGCTTTCAATCTTCCGCCTGAGGCACCCCAGTGCCCCTAAGGATGCGCGCAGGACGGCGCCTGTGCAGGCAGGAAGAAGGGTTCGTGGCTGGCTGGGGCACTCTGGGAGTTGTAGGCTCTTTGCATAGGATCGCACCGAGTTTTACCTGGTCAGCAGCATTTTTCCGGCATCCTGGCTGCTTTTGCATTATTAAGCAGCCATGGGACTTCCGTGTGAATGGAGGCACGTCGGGGGCTTTGCTTTTCTACCTTCCGAGCTCTACTGGGTGCACTATCCTCCAGGAAATCTTTACCTGCCGTTATTGATCGAAAAGCATTTATGAAATTATTTTGGAGCCCTTGGATCTCCACCAAGTTGCTGAGTCATTTCCAGCGACCTCTGTTCATTCCAGTGGGGTACGCTTTCATTCTTTAGGAAGTGCCAAGTGTTTAAGGGGACAGAACATTTGGGCCCAGAGGTGAAGAGGAGAACTGGGGCAGGTCAGGATTGGAACTCATGACACCGTTCTCCAGTCCAGTCCAATCCCATCCAGTCCTTCCCTTCCCCCCTCAATTCACGTATGAACCGGGGTGCCCCCTGAAATGTCAGATGATCCCTGATGCAAGTTTGGTATGAGACGGCAGACGAGGTTACCAGAGGATCTGGAGAGGCGCACAGAGGATGAAGATGCTCCCCGCCTCGGTGCAGGCCGAGGAAGGGGGGGGGTTGGCGTTGGCAGGTCACGCCCGGGAGCCCGGCAGTCAAGCGTGGGCGCCGGCGCCACCCCCACTTCGGAGCGAGGCCTTGGAGATCTCGGTGCTGACAGTGGAGAGCGGGAAGCTCTCGTACTTGTCCTTCTCGTGGCCGCTGCAGCTGCAGCGATACAGCAAGGCCTTGACCTCCTTCTGGAAGTTGCTGTTGAGGAAGCCGTAGGCGATGGGGTTGGTGCAGGTGGATGCCATGGCCGTCAGGTGGCAGAGGGAGAAGATGAAGTTGTGGTAGCACACGGGGATCTTCTCGTGGTCCCAGTCGTAGAGGGCGTTGAAGACGGTGAGGGGCAGCCAGCAGGCGGCGAAGGCAACCACGAGGCAGGCCAGCATGACGCTCACCCTCCTGTGGCTGGTGGCCCGGGAGCCCTCCTTGGCCCGCTCCACCATGTCCTTGCGGCGCTGGAGGCGCAGGAAGATGCGGAAGTAGCAGGCCATGATGAGGCACAGCGGGAGGCAGTACTGGAAGAGGAGGAGGAAGGTGGTGTACGTGAGGCGCTGCTCATCCGAGGGCCAGTGCTCGATGCAGGCCAGGTGGTCGGCGAAGGGGTTGAAGGGAAGGCTCAGGTTCCGGAAGGGCTCGTTGGTCAGGACTGTGAAGGAGAGGAAGGGCAGGGAGATGAAGCAAGCCACCGCCCAGGTGAGGGCAACCGCCAGGTAAGCGTGGCTGGCAGCGGGCTTCCACCCTGTCGGGTTGATGATGAGCTGGTGCCTCTCCAGGGCGATCCAGGCGAGGGAGAGGATGGAGACGGTGACGGAAGCACACTGCACAAAGGGGCTGGCCTTGCAGAGCACTTCCCCCAGGATCCAGCGGTCCATCAAGGTGTAAATGACTGTGATGGGCATGCAGACCAGGGACATGAGAATGTCAGAGCAGGAGAGGTTGGCGATGAAGATGTTGGTGACGTTCCGCATCTCCTTCTGCTGGACGATGACGCACACCAGGCAGAGGTTGCCGATCAGCCCCACGGCGATGACTGCACTGTAGGCCACGATCAGAAACGTGCCGTGCCCGACGGAGTCGCTGCAGGGCACCTCGTTCCCCTCCAGCAGGCTCAGCTGCTCGGAGAAGTTCAGGTAGAGGAGGTTCATGAGCTGGTCCATGGCGCTTCCACCGCAGGGCGGGAAGGACCGGTTCTCTCTGGAGCTGACCGCCAGGAGCCGCAGCACCGCCGCTCTCTATGTGACAGGCAGGCAGGCAGGCAGGCAGGCAGGCAGGCAGGCAGCGTGCTCGCGCAGGAACTACCCTGTGCCAACAAGGAAGACCTCAAGTGAGTAGAAGGGCTCGTGTTTGCCGCCTTCGTGGTGTGCGCTGGCCTTCCTCCCTGTCCCTCTGATCATCGAATGCAAGATGTGCAGTTCTTTTAACAAAGGCTCCGCAGAGCATGGACCAACGGGAATTTATATCAGTACAAACAGCCTTCTGCCAAAGTTGAGGCAGAAGCCTCTGCCCATGGCAAGAGTTGGATCCAAACGGGAAACTATATCCTCCGTACCTCCCCCTCTGAGCGTTTTGGGGGTGGAGGGAGCACAGAGGCAAGCCTTGTCTGTGTCCCTGCCACGGCCCATTGGGTGGCCACAATCCTTCGAATTTAGAGGGAATTTAGAACTACACTGGATGACACCACACACATATAAACTTAAGGCAGAGGATCCCCAGGCAGATCCAGACCCTGACCAGGCCTGAACTGGGATTGCTTGGTCCTTTCCCATGTATTTTTGATTAATAATTACATTTCTGCACTGCTGTGAGCTGAGGTAGCCATTAGGCTTAACATTTTGTGCTCCTACTTTATCCTAGAAGCTTCAAGTCAAAAGTGACTTGTGAGCTGAAAATAGCAAAAGATTTCATTCTGCATCTTGGAATGCCATCTCCCTCCCCCGTGGCTGCTAGTTACACAGGAGTACAGTTTTAAGAATAGCTCAGTGAAGCTTCCATTCATCTCCAGGAGACAAAGGAAAAGACAATTTCAGTGACTTTATTCTGTGTGGCCTGGCATACCTTGTGCCTTGCCAGACAAGCCCTACCTTTTGCACGAGAAGTGCATTGTTCTTACCCATTTGTTGTGATTGATCCGGATCTCTGTCCTGGGAGAAGCACTTCTGTTACAGAAATGCCACATTTTTCCAGCACACAAAATGCAATATTTTGTCACTAGGAAAACACAGGGTTTTTTCCTTTCCATCTGCCCACTGACTGTGATAAGGTAGCCTTGTAAATAAATACTTCAAAAGTAACTTGTCCATAATGTCTTTTTACAAGTCCCCTGTCTATCTATACTCATTTCTACCACATCTGTACACTTTCTGGCTCTCTTCTCGTCTAAGGGAAACCTGATCGGCACAGATGAGCGACAGGTTCTTTGCCAGCCTGCCACAACAACGGTCATGAACGGCACGGTCACACGACTCTCGCGAGCGCCTGTCAAGGAGCGCGGAATGCCTTTAGCACTGAGCCACAGGGCACCGCACGGTTTTATGTCTCTGCTCTCATGTGCAGCTTAAAGCACCATGTTCGTCCTTCTGTCCAGGCCGAGCTCTGTCCCCCATGCCACTCCGATGCAGGAGGCTCGAATCTTTCCTTAAATTGGCAAGGGGAGGACGTGAGAGCCAGGAGCTGCCTGCACCGAAGCCATCTCCTTTCCTGGACCTTCGGCTTCAGTTTCCACGCGGCCCTAGTTTGGGGCTCGTGTGCCCCCTTTCCCCTGCACTGCAGCGCACATCTGTCCCCCCCCCTCGGAAAACGCTGCAAAGGGCTGCTCCCCCCCACCGCCCCCCACTTCCTTGGAGGTGGCGAACCACGCATCACATGGCAGCCACCCCTCAGTGCGGAGCGCACTTTCCCTCTGGGCGTTTCAGCCGGACTCCGCGTCCTGGCTCCCCGGGGATGGCCAGCTCAGGCGCCCGCCCCTCTTTCCCGCACCCGCCGCAGCCCCCGCCACCCGCGTGCCGTGGGGCAGCCACCGTCCAGGCGGGGCTGGCCGTGCAGCGGAGGGAGGACACAGGTGCTCCCGGCAGCGCGCCGGGGCTGCCGCGCGCTGCCCGCCGCGCGGAGGCCGAGCTGGGCAAGGCGCGGCGGCGCGTGCGGCTCTTACATAAGTTGCGCCGGTGCTGGAAGGGCCGGGCGTGCGGGCGGACGGCGCTGCTCCCGGGGCAGCGAGCCCGCCGGCGACGGGGCGGACGGGGGCGCGGCGCTCAGCGCTCGGCGGCGCGCCGTTCCGTTCCGCCCCGGCCGCTGCCCTGCCCTCTCCCCCCACCACGCCCGCCGCTCACTCACCGACGGGGCCGAGCCCGTCCGTGGCCCCGCGCATGGCGCCTCCTCGGCGGCCGCCCTCCTGCCCCTTCTCGCCTCGCGCGCCCAGAGGGATGCGCCGGGATGCCGAGGCGAGGCGCGGCGAGGCGCGGCGCGGCGCGCGAATGCGGCGCCCTCCCCCAGGACCACCGCGCCGCCGCCTCCTGGAAATGCGGCGCTTCAGGCCGGGCTGCGGGGCGGAGAGCCAGGAGAGGGTCCGGCGGAAGGGCTGCCTTAAGAAGGCAAGGGACCCCCCTCCCGCGCGCGCGCGCGCGCCCCGACACGCACGCACACACAGACACACACACACTGGCACGCGCGCGCCCCAAACTCCACCCCTGGGGCAAGAGTGGCTGGGCGTGAGCGGAGCGGCTCGGGATGCTCCTCGCACGTGGGTACCACTCCTGTCCGCGCCCCCCGGGCCGCCCGCCCGCCCGCGGCTCGCAAGTGCGAGGCCGGGAAGCGGAGGAGGGGGAGGAGGCGCTGCGTGCCGGGGGCGGAGAAGGGCCCGGCAGCTCAGCCCGGAGCCCGCGGCCGCCCAGAGAAGGGGGCGCGGGGGGGGCCTGCCCTGTGGGAGCCAGCCCCGCATCCTGCCCGCCGGTGCTGCCAGCCGTCAGGAAGAGGCTGGAAAGGAGGAGACGGCACGCACCAGCCTCCCGAGCGCGAACGGGGCGGCCGGGAAACGGGGGCCTCCTGGACACACAGACCCGCTCTGGGGAGGGGGGCTGCCGCCTCTTCTTGCAGGGCTGCAGAACTAGTCTCTTGGGGTCTTCCCAGCCTGTCCCCCGCGACCAGAGCCCGAAGGGATCCTCATCGTTGCAGCCAACCAGCGTACCTGCTCTAGGCTGCCCTTGCCTCCCCCAGCACCAAAAGATGTGCGGGACTGCAACTCCCATCATCCCCAGCCAGCTCGCGTCCTCAGCAGGCTTCTCTCCGCCTTGCCAAGGGCTGGCGACAAAGGTCTTTCTAATCCAACACATCTTGCCTTCACTTCAGAGCGCCGGCAAGCTGCAGTAGTCGTGGCAACTGGGACGCATCCTGGGCGGGGATGCTGCAGCGAGCAGACGCCCCCACACCCCCGCAGACCTGCGCGCTGCATCTGCACCCACCGCTCCGGGCAGCCTCTTGGAGAAAGAAAAATACCAGCAACCCAGCCATAAAGATCAACAGATGTCAAGGCAGGGGGCAGGGGGCGATAGAAAACAGCCGCAAAACCAGGGGACAGTGTGACGCATCTCTCCACTTGGCACAAAGGGACATCTTGGCCGGAGGGCAGGAGGCGAGACAAAGGGGAAGCCAATCTACCTGCCGTGACCTTGACTGTGACATTGTCAGGTAAGTCAGGATTATAAACCTTACCCTGCAGAGGGTGAATGGGATGCAGGGATATTGCAATGATTCTTACATTCCATCATGCTATTCAGTGAGTTCCCTAGAGGGCTTAGCAAATAATAACATGCAATCAAAATTCATCAAGCTATTTTAAATACAAAGCAAATCTACATCTATTTATCTTAGCAGCATCTGTAAACAGCATAAAAACCTTTAGCATAGATGAATGGGTCTCAAAAGGCCTGGGAAAGTTAAAAAGTCGGTGCAGAGTATTTGACAATGGGGGTGCCACCACTGAAAAGATCCTCTCAGTTACATCCTGCTGCACCTCAGATGGTGGGCGACTAGAAAAAAATTCCTCAGAAAAAGAACTCGTGGTCTTGGTAAATATTTGGAGAGGCAGGAGCAGAGTATCTGAAGGGCTGGCTAAGCTGTGAAGGGCCCTCAAGACAAAAAGCAGCGCTTTGAAGTGAAAGGTCTGGGAGCCTGGAACATCGGACTGGATAGTGGTGTGTTTCTTTTCTGCAGAAAGTGCTTTGAAAGAGGGATTGCAGGCCGCAGTTTGTGCATCCATTCCTCTCGCAACGAGCTTGTGCAGGGCGGGCACTAATGCAGCCAGCAAAAGCTACAGACGACACTGCAAGTAAGCGAAGCAGAAGAAGGAGAATGATGTAAGCTGCTGAGTTCTTAAAAGAAAAAGGCGGGCTATAAATCTAATAAATAAATTAAAAAACAAAGTTAAGCGTGATTGTATATTTGGAAGCAAAATCACACTCAAGCCATTTTCGGCTTCTTCCGAAATGGAAGGTGCCTGACCAAAGACACCTTCCTTGTACAAGAGATGACATTTGAATAAAAGGCATTTGAACTGACCAAGCAAAAACCACGGGTTTGCCAGCAGCCATGGAAATGCAGCCAGTCCAACCCTCTGAGGAGCACTGGAGCCTCCGAGCACCTGCTTGCCATCCTTGCGCTCCAGGAAAATTCCTGCTGAGCACCGAAGGGGCTGCGAGGGAAGCTGCCACGTTGCACCAGGCCCGGTGAGAAATGGACCAGGGAGGCCACTTGCGAGTCACTGAAAGAGGACACGCCCACCAAGAAAAGAGGAGCATTTTCCCCACAAAATGTGTATATTTCAACTTACATGCATTGTTGCAAAACTAGAACGGTGATTCCAGTTTTCTATGGTACGATTTAAAAAGAAATGCAGTGCCGCTTACCCTGCCATGAGCCGCTCTGCTCATTCTGCTGCCCAGGTCCTGTGCATGGGCCCCTTCCAGGCCCAGCTCTCCCATCTCACGGTCTTTAAAGGAAAGCCCCTCAGAGAGGGGACTGGCTTCTGTGAAAGAGGGCACGTGCCCCTCCAGAACCAGTCCTTGTTTTCACTTGCAGGTGGAAGTCCATGTTGCAGCGGCATCCACAGGTTTTCCAAGGAGGTAATGAGAAAATTTGTCGGCAGCAGTACCAATGCTGCCCCTGGGACTCGGAGCACAGGTGGGCACCTACCTGGAGGGCCCTTCGCTACTGCTATTCCCCTCGGCGGGAAGCAGGGCCCACTGCTGAGGCAATTCTCTGATGCAGCAGGCTTGCAAAGCGGGGAGAGACCCCCTGGTGCTTCAGGAGCGCCTGTCCTGGGGGCTGCTTCCATCATCCTTGCACTAACCCCAGTGAGTTTGGCCGGGAGCGGAGCATTGCAAATGCTTGTGTGAATCACAGAACCACAGAATAGTGGAATTGGAAGGCCTGAAGAGTTATAAGGCCGTCGAGTCCAACTTCTGAACCAGCAAAGCTGGACCAGAAATGACACCTAGAGATACTGAGCCATTTGGGGTTGAATTTGAACACATTCCTATGGGGAGGGGGGTGCCCCAGTGTCACTTAGCCCTAGAATGTAACATAGGGAAGGGACTGAATCTGGGCACATGCAGATGATACGAAGCGGGCCTCCCCTGTCCCTCATCACACCTAGAAATGGCATCGCCAACAGCAGTGCCACACACTCACTGCTTGCATAAGGAGCCAAGTCCCCACCCATCCAGGAGACCTTTTATTTTATTATCATTATTAATTATATATATTTCTATACCACCCATAGCCGAAGCTCTCTGGGTGGTTCACAACATTGAAGTCCCCCATCCGGATTCCAACCAGGCCTGACCCTGCTTAGCTTCCAAGATGAGGCGTGACCAGGCCCTTCAGGCTACATGGCAGCAGCCCGGGGAGGTTTGGGGCTGTATGGGTGGGTATCCATGGAGAGCTGTGGCCACCTGACGTCAGCCAGAAGCGCTGACCAGCGTGGGCCAAAGAAGCTTCTGCCCGTGTAGGTCCAAAGGAGCTGAGCTGGAATAAACTTGCAGGGATTTGAATATTAAACACTCTTTCTTAAGTCAGACCACAAGCATATAAATAAAACGAAGGAGGAGTTGGCCACAGGGAATTGAACATACTGATGGCCTGTTGACATAACAACAATGCAAATAGCTCTTCCTAATGCAATTAGAAATGTGCAGTCCGGCTGCAGAACCCCGAGTGGCTGGTTGCCGCTAAGAGCCGAGAAGTCTCTCATTATCTCCCCGGGAAACCGGCCGAAGTGGCTCCAGCACAGGCAGCTCCGGGTCCGTCCAGCCTGCGCTCTGCTTGCACAGCAGCCAGCCAGCCAGCCAGCCGCCCGCAGGGGGTTCACGAGCAGGACATGAGCGCAACCGCACTCTCCCACCCATGTTCCCCAGCAACTGGCCAACAGACGGTCCGAACACTTCAGTTGGTGCAAAATAGAGCCGCCAGGTTGCTGACGGGGACGGGGCGTTATGCTCACATGACTCCAGTCCTCCGTCAGCTTCACTGGCTTCCCATTGAAGCCCGGGCCCAATTCAAGGTGTTGATTATGACCTACAAAGCCCTAAACGGCTTGGGTCCTGGCTACCTGAACGAGCGCTTACGTCCGTATATGCCCGACCGCCCTTTGAGATCTGCGGGAGAGTCCCTTCTGCAGGAACCCTCCATGAAAGAAATTAGGAGAGTAAGTACTCGGAGGAGGGCTTTCTCTGCGGTGGCGCCCAACCTATGGAATTCACTCCCCAAAGAGGTCCACCTGGCACCGTCGTTACTGGTTTTTCGGCGCCAGGTAAAGACCTTTTTATTTAAACATCATTTTAATTGTTAAAACATATGATCTGGCCAGGGCAACTTTCTTCTTCCTTCTCTTTTCTCCTCCTATATTATTTATTTACTTATTTTATACTGATTATTTTAATTTTATATTATTATGTTCATAACTCAGTGTATTTTTTGTATTTTTGTATTTAATGGTAATTTATTTCAATGCATTTTATTGTGCTGTAAGCCGCCCCGAAGCTTCAGCAAGGGGCGGTATAGAAATGTTATAATAATAATAATAAAAAAAATAATAATATGAGTGGTGGCCACCAGGGGCCCTCTCCACTGTGGCTTTGCTGCCCCTTTTTCAGAGCCATCCATGCTGGGGTCCTCATTGCATTAGAAACACAGAAACAGAGCGAGTCAGAAGGGGCCTCCCGGGCCATTTAGCCTGACCCCCGGCTCCAGCCAGCTCCGCTCACGACGTGCCCACCATGCGCATGTCCAGCCCGTCCTCGAGCACCCGCACCGAGGGGGCTTCAGCCACCATTTCCTGGAAGGAAGCTCCACAGTCCCACCCTGTCCGGTGCGAAGAAAGGCCCCCTCGTCTCCCGCCAGTGGGCTCCGTGGGAAACTCCTTCGGGCTCCAGCGTCAGGCAAGGGGGGCCAGCCGTTTCGCCCGCCACTCCCTCCGCACGGGGCTTCTTTGTGCAGCTCTCCCCATCCCCTCCACTTGCCATTCTCCCATCATGCACACCTCCACCTTGCTCTCTTTTGGGCGGCTTGCCTGCTTGCCTGCTCGCTTTTGTGGCCTGTCCTGACTGTTATGGCTAAACCCTGAAGCCTTGTTCCTATTATGCACCTGTCTGGGGGTAAGTGCCTTTGCATGCATGCTGCTTACTCCTGAGTAGACAGGTAGGCAGTTGACTGCACATGGATTATGCGTGGAGCATTTTGACTTGCTGGGTTTATGGGGTCTGAATTATTAATCATCATTACTGGGCTGCTTGGCTTGTAGGTTTGATTGATGGCTTTGGCTGGTTCCCACGGGATGAGTTAGCTGGATGATGTTTTAGTGCTAGTTGTATGGGGTTCTGACTGGGGTGTAGCCAGCTCTGTCTCCCTCGGTTCCACCTACTGCCCCACCAGCCCCCACAGCCAACTAGGTGATAAAAACTCGTAATTGTTATTCAGCTCCCTAGCAGAACAAACGGACTCCCCGCTCCCTCTTGAACAAGAGCTTTTCCTGCATCAGGTGCACGAGGGTCACACCAGCATGCAATTCCCAGGATCAATCTGCAAGGAGGTCAAAGCTTCACGGAGTAACAAGACCCGGGTCAACACTGTCCAAGGAAGCTGGAAGTCGAGGGCTGCCAACATTCACTGTTTCACCTGAACCTTCAGGATTTTCACCTCCCTCTCCGGGTCTCCTGGACAAGGAGTAGAACCTGTGCGGAAGAAAGGTCCAGAATCCAGGGGGGAGCAGGCGATTTTCCATCACTCCGCTCCATTGTGCCCACTAGTGTTCGCCAAGCGATGTCAGGCAAAACGAAGCATTTCTTCTGCCCGGCCAGGGGCCATCCCATGCTCTCTCCCAGTCACTGGCCCCATGCCACCGGACTGCAGTCCAGCTCACCCTTGGTTCCAGGGTGGCTCTCAAATTTCAGGGCTGGGGCAATCTGGCTGTCCTCAGGTGGGGGACTGCCCTTGGCTGCTGGCTGCAAGGACCGGGGCATCCTCCAAGCAGCAAAGTTCAAGGCCGCTGCAAGCAGAGCCCGCAAGATGCTCAGATGGATAAAGCCATCCTGCATTCGGGGGTTTAAAGGTCTAGATGAGCCAGGAGTGGCCTGGGGGCCTGCCATCTGCCTGAATGTTGCAGGGCCCTGCTAGCCAGGTCTGCAAGGGAGGCAGAAGGCCAGAACGCAGCAGGGTAGGTGTGGGGAGCCCTAGTCGGAGAAACGGGCACGTATCCTGGGTGCTCTGCTCAGGGTGCAGCGGGGACAACCAAGCAGAGGGCAGCATCTGGTGGGAAGAGTGGCAAACAAGCCCATTTTTGGTGCTTCCATGGGTTTGGGTATTCTGGGTCTGGTCTTGCTCCCGATGGGCAGTGGACAGATCTGTCCTCAGAGCAACCCTGCGAGGAAGGCCAGAAAGTGGATCTCTGTCCCGTGGATGAGGCTCGCCCAAGGCTGTGGCGTGTGCCTGTGGCAGAGGCGAGGTGTGAACTCTGGCCTAGGATGCTGGGCACAGCAGGAAGTGTTTGAAAACAGCCGGAGGAAGCGGCAGCCACCTGGAGGGCACGGCGCTCGTGATGTCAGAAGCGTTTCCTGCCATTCTTTGAGCTGGGAAGCTGTGGGGAACGGAGCTGGTCACGGATGCAGCTTGACCGGGCGACGCATCACCAGCTGGGCAGGGAGCCTGCCCCTCTGGGAACTTGCAGGAGGACGTGTCAGGAGAATGCCGGTCGGGAACGCCGAGGAGCCGCCACCTGGCAAAGGAGCCGGTCCCACTGGACCGGAAGGAAGCTCCCTGGGGAAGGGAGCTGCCGATCCAGCGGAGCGACGCACGAGCACACGTTGGGTACTGTTCCAAGAGAGTTCCAGGGAGTAAGCTTTCATTGCCAGCTAGAGCAGCACCTACA